CACTGTCTGGAGCACGTAGATCACCATGGGGTTCTGGAACACTGTCTGGAGCACGTAGATCACCATGGGGTTCAATTTCTCCAATGCCCCTGCCATCATCATTGATGATCTCATCCTCTGGTTGACATTGTCTCCCTTCAATGACCGGCATTGTGTAGGACGCCACAAGCATGTACCTAAAGTCCAAACCGTCTGGCGTGTGTCCCCTTTTTCGAAAGGGGCCGCAAACATCCAGCGACATCACATGACACGACGGAGCTTCCACTCGCCGATGTTGATGACCAGTAGCTCGGGTCGCCACGCACGTTTGGCAGCGTTTGTGAAACGGGATGTGTCCATTCCTGACATGCTGTGTCCAACGGGCCAACTCCTCCTTTGTCATTGCGCTAAGGGGTCCCTCCATACGGCGAAGAGCAACTCGAGTTCGTTGATGATGAATGGCTCTCACCAGAGCCTGTCTGAAGGCACTGGTCCAAACGAAGGCTCCTGATTCGGCCGTCTGCTCCCAAGCATCATATCCCGAGTCCTTCATAACCAAGTTGGAGGCCAAGAACACATCGGGTCTGCCAGCATTGAGAACAACACCCATCGAGCCTTGGAATCTCTTCCACATCTGTGATCTCCATAGCTCGCTTTTCCTTGGCATTGTCATAGCAAATATGGGGCAAGTGACCTCGTGCTCCTCCGCTGTAAGCCTCGCAATATTCCAGAGGAACATCTGCTTCAGGACCAGCTCTCCGCAGGCCTCACCACGCGGAGGTCCACCAATGAGACCATACAGCTGACCTCGCATTGCAGCCCACAACAATGCCTTGTAAACACCGCTCGGCTCCCTCATGTTGAACGCCTTGCTGATGCCCAAATCCACCTCAAGCAGTGTAACGCAGTCATCTTCAAACACCTTGAGCTCCTTGCTGCCACCTTCCCCGGAGTAGACATGCACCAACCATTGGGTGGTCATCAACTTCTTCCTCATAGCGCGCTTCACAGGCAAAGCCTTCAGGTACTTGTGGCCAGCCTTGTCGCTGAGGTCGATGTCCTGGGCCAACGCACACCTCTGAGCTTCCGTCAAACACCCGAAGACTGAATCCTCACACATCAGGGCCTTCAAGCCTTCAGTCCGACTTCCGGTTCGGCGATACTCCGAAAGCTGGGCTCCGTAGTTGAGTTGCGCTTCCACACCATGTAGTCGAAGCTGAGTTTCAACCATTGCAACCTTCAACTGCTCCAACTTCCTGTTCTCTATCTCGCCTATCAGCTCCAAAGCCTTCGCTTCCCCAATAAATGGGCAAGCCCCTGACACATGAGTCGTGATCACTCCGTAGGTGGGGTGCTTGACTTCCAACCCACGACGGGTCCAGGCAACAGTACATCCAAGCTCCTGCACCAAGCTTCCAAGAGGCACTATAACAGTGTTGGTACCCTTCTCTGCAGCTTGCTTCTTGCTGTAAGGCATCAATGTCCCAGCTCGATTTTGTCGTAGTAGCACTGCTTGACCGTCAGCTAGCTGCACCTGAATCGGCATGGCTTCCATTTCCTCGCCCTTGTTCGCCGGACGAAATGGATTTGTCGCTCCCGAATCCAACAATGCCCACGATGTCGTTCCACCAGTGCCCTTCGAAGACTCAGCCTCGAACTTCTCCACCTTGGCCGCAAGCATCTTGTCATCCATCAAGGAGAGCTGGTTGAGCCTCGAAA